GTCCGGTCCGGCTATGGCCTGCTGCACTGCCCTCCTTTTTAGGTAAAGCCTACAGCCTGGGCAGGGCCGAGTATGGCCGGCTGGGCCTCGGGGCAGGGGCGGAGGAGAAGAGCACGCCCACGGTCATCCCGGAGCTCCCCAGCATCTCTTCCGTCGCATGCGGCGCATCGGTCGGCTACGCCGTCAGCCGCGACGGTGAGTGCCGGGGGCCTCCGCGGGCTCAGGAACGCCACCCTATGTACCCTCCCCACCCCTCACCCATCCGTCCTGGTGCTTTGCCCAGCCCGGCCCCCCTGGATCCGACCGGCCCCGCACAGCTTCATCGCACGCTGCTGGCTGGGTCGGGACTGGAGCCAGGTCCTGGCGCTGATGCAGCCCCTGCCGAGCACCCAGCCCGGGGGCAGCTGGGCAGCAGCTGCTCAAATATTTTTTGTGGGCCCTTGGCAGCAAGGTTCTTAACGGTGTTGACCGTGAGGGGGTTGTTGGCCTGCCGGTCCCTTCTCCGCACCCTGAACTCCGCTGCTGCGAGACCTCCGTGCTGTGGTGCTGTCCATGCTCGTGCGCGGCATCTGCAGCCCGCGGCTGTGGGAAGGAGGGTTTGTAGTGGGCTGATGGATTTGCTTTGCTCCCCGGGGGCAAAACGCTGCCTTGGCTGTGTGATGAAATGCCTCTTTGGGTTGCAAGCGCTGCTCCTCTTCCTCCTGCCTGCACCTCTGGCAGCCATCACTAAGCCCACTGCCCGGGTGTGAAGTCCCCTTGGGTTTGGCTGCTGGGTCCCCTTGTCACCCCAACCTGCGGCCACCTGGAAGCCAAAACTTGTGTCACCTCCGTTGCAGGACGAGCGTTTGCCTGGGGCATGGGCACCAACTACCAGCTGGGCACAGGGGAGGAGGACGACGTCTGGAGCCCCGTGGAGATGACGGGCAAGCAGCTGGAAAACCGCACGGTCCTGGCCGTGTCCAGCGGCGGCCAACACACTGTGCTGCTGGTCAAGGACAAGGAGCAGAGTTGATGAAGCGACGCCGCGCAGCCGAGCCCAGCGGGATCGCGGGACCCGCACACACACCCCCCACCTTTTGCCCGGGTCGGGTGACCGGTTTCCAGCTCTGGTCTCCCACCGACGGTGGTGGGGAGGGCAGGAGGCTCCCGGAGCCGGACCCCGGCAGCGTCTGCGTGGCTGGAGCAGGGCTCTTCAGGGATGCTCGTGATTTCTCCCTGCAAGCATGTGTCTGTCTTCCCGTGGTGCCCGGTGCTCTGTCAGCTCCCCCGGGTCAGCTTGGTCCTAAACTGATGTCAGTACTGTGGCTGGATGGGTTTTCCACTTCTCATTTGGGTTTGGTGTACTGTGGCTGGATGGGTTTTCCACTTCTTCTCATTTGGGTTTGGGTTTTTTTTTTAATATTTCCTGGCCTGGCAAAGCTGAGGGCCTTGTTCTTCACTACACAAAAGGGTTTGGGCATTGGGCTTTCTGAGGTCCCCGTGTTCCCCCAGTCTTTGGGTGCTTCCCCCATCCACTTAACCTAAACATCTTTTACCTCTCCAACTTGGATGTGTCTGCTGCCACCCACCAAACCCCTCTGGGCTCGTTCCGGGTGAGATCTCGGTCCAGCAGAAACGCTCCCGGGGAGCTCTCGCAGAAACGCTCCCGGGGCTCTCTCTCCTCTCACGCCCGATGCTTGTGGCTGCAGTGGGGAGTTGCCGCCGGGCGGCTGGGAGCCTGCAAGGGGGAACGCCGCTGGACGATGCCCGGCCCGCACTGTGCACAGAGCTGTGGCTGCTGGAAAAGGGGGGCTCCAGCCTCCCACCCATCACCGCTTACGGGTCTGAGCCAAAATCCCCCAGGCAGCGAGGCCGGGAGGAGGTTCCCCTGCTCCCTCCTGCCTGGAGCGGCCGCCTCCAGCACTGCTTTTGGCAATCCCAGCCGCTCTTGCTCTTTCCCGTTGCCTTCAGAAACCCAACAAAATCCATCCCACGGGTGGGGACTTTGTTATTTTAATTTTCTCTCTTCCCTTCGCTGAGGAAGGAGCTTCATTTGCCTTTAGGGCCTCGCTGAGAAGACAGAACCAAAACCCAGCTATGCATCAAATCGCTCCAAACAACGGGACTCCTTCCTCCCTATCGCCTCCGGTCTCGGTCCATCTGGTCTCGCTCCCTGCGCTCGGCCTGCCCCATCTTCTCTTTCCGTCCTGCCTTCCAGGTACCTGGACTGAGAAGGGGGTCCGCGGCAGGGGGGGTGTGTGCGGGGCGGGGGGCTGGGACTTGTACAATGGCTCAGAATAGGTTGAATTTTTTTTAAAAGAAAATGTAAAGTATTTTGATTGATTAATTGAGGAAGAGAGGAGAAAAACTGTAATCTTTTAACATTTGGAATAAACTGAGTTTTGATAAACCCTGGGGTTTCCCCGTGGTTTGCAGGGGTGGGCAGCCCCCCCGTGGGCACGGTCGTGCTCTGGGCTGATGTCTGAGGACGGAAGGGCCACATGTGTCCCCTCCTGCCCCCTTTCTCCATAAACCCTGCCGCGTTCCTGCCCCTGAGCTGCCACGGGAGCCGTGCTGCCAGCTGAGCTCTGGCATCTGCACTGAGGTGGCCCCGGGGAGGGGAGCCCAGGGTCGAGCAGAGGCTCAGCATCCTTTGGCCGGTGCTCAGTGGGGAGATGGGGACGGACTGAGGACCCCCTGGCCTCCTGCCACCCCTGGGCAAGGGGCCGCTGTGGCCGCCGCGGTGTGGGGCCAGTCCTCTGTGGCCGTGGCACTTGGGGACAGGTCGAGATGGGCGCCTGGCCTTGTAAGGGTGCGGGGCCACCCTGGGGTGCTGCCGTGGTCCCAGCCTGGCCGCAGCCTTGTCCGGTGCCGTACGCGGGTGTGTGCGTGCAGTTGTGGGACACGGCCGCAGGATGGCAGCAGGAGAAGGTGCTGGGGACTGCTGGACCACTGGACGGGGGGAAGTGGGGCAGGGAAAAGGGATGGTCCCCGTGTGACCCTCCCTGGCCCCGTGGGACCCCTATTCCTGGCATATCTGGGCCTCCAGAGGCGCAGCTGAGCCCACCGGCACGGCTGGAAGGTGTCTTGCCATGCCCCTGCCCCAGGTTGGGCGCTCGTGGCGGCTCTGTCGGAGCTGGAGCTTGAGCCCGATAGCGTGTGTGTGCTCCGGCGCAGAGACCGGCACCGACGGAGCAAATTGCCACATCCTGGTGTGACCGGAGCCCCCAGTGTCTCTTCATTCTTAATTAGTGTGGGAGGGAGCAGGTTTCTTAATGAGCCTCCGGCTGGTGATGGGCTTTGGGCGGGTGGTTGGTCGGTACCGGGAGCAGTTTGGGCTGCCGGCGGCTTTTTGGCTCCGCTGCTCCCGCGTCTTTTGGGCTGGGGAAGGACGAGCTTTGACTTCACAGTTAGGGACGGCCTCAGCGTAGAGCGCGTGGTGGGGGTCCAGCATGAGGCTGGGGGTGCTGCGGGCACCCACCTCCTTCCCCACTAAAGACCGGGTTCGTGTTTGGTGATTGCGGAGCCGGGCTTGCAAAGGGCTCAGGTTTTTTTCCACGTAAGGGTGAAGTTGGGATGTGGGCCCACGGAGAGTGTTTTATTGCCCAGGATGGAGCCGGTAATTCGCCATCAGCACAGGCTGAGCCATGGGCAAGTGGCTAATGCTGCCACAAATACCGTGGCTAATGCTGCTCCCTGGGGACCATCGCCCTCCCATTTGATGCTCCTCCACCGAACGTGTTGGATACCTGATGGGGAAATTGCTCGGTGTCTTGGGCCTGATTCCCAGCGACAAGCTCAATGTTAATGTCTTGTTTCCAAAACCAGCACTGGTATTTTTACATCCCTTCCAGGGAAAAACCCACCCTGACTTGCTCCGCCACCCTTCTTCCCATCGTCACGATGCCGCCGTGACGCAGACGGCTGTGCCGGGCTCTGCAAATGCATCTTCGCGCCCCTCGCTTCGAACCTCGCTGACCTATTTATAGCTAAGAAATGCAGAGAGACTTAATGAAGGGAGACGTGGGACTCCTCCGGCCTTGAGGTGATGCTGACAAGCCACAGTGGCTGCTCGGGTTGGAAGAGCAGCTTCTTGCTCTGCAGGGCTCCCGGTGCTCGAATGGAAGGAGGCGGCTCCGGCCCCGGCTGTGTTGGGGTTGGACGCAGATGGGTTAAATTGCCGGTTAAGCCGGGTTTGGGGAGGTTGAGGTGTGGGTTTTGGTGCAATTCCTGGCTACCTGTGTGGTATTCCAGTGTGGACACCTGCCAAAGAGGGTAAGGACTCTGTAGAGGTGACGTCCTGTTCAAAACCCCATGGAAAACGATTTTAGGAAGGACAAAACTCGCCCTGGTAAGGGCTGGAGCCCCTCGAGGCGTTACCAGCAGCATGGAGGGGAAGGGGATGTGCAGAGCAGCTGGGGAGGGACCCGAGGGACCCGACCAGCCTGGCCGAGGCACCGCGTCCCGGCGACCGCCCCGGCGGCAGCAAAGTGTTTTGCTTTGCGACCTCCCCGGTGCAAACCTGGGGCTGGTTGGGGTTTGGCTCCCCCCTCCTTCATCACCCCTTCAGCAGCAGGTCCCTGGGGCTGGCGTCCCCAGTGGGTCCAGCTCCGCTCCCAGCTTCTCTCTTAACATCAGCTCGGGGCAGCTCTTCCCGATCCCTCCTTCTCAGTCCTACCGTTGGACAGGGAAGAGTTTCATGATGCAAAACTGAACCAAGAAAAGCCGGCGCAAGGGGCTTTTCCCCAGGGAGCCTGGCCCGGTTGCTCTGGTTGCACCCAGAAGCTCCCATCCCTCTGACCCGGGGTGTCCCCGTCGGGGTGCAGCACCTTCGGGCACACGGCAAAAGGCCGGTCGGATGGAGAGGATTCCTCCTCCCTTCTGCCGAGGGGGTTTTTCCTTGTTTCCTCGGCTGCCGGCGCTGCCGAAAGCCTCCTGCTCCGTCACCCCATATTGCCTCGGCTGCCGGTGAGCTGGGAGCCTCTCGCGGTGGCCGGGCTCTGCTTCCCAAGCACGGTCGATAACCTCTGAGAGCAAACGCCCGCCCGGCGTCTCGGCGAAGGGGCTGGTTTTTCCCTTCTGGATAACACCGTCCTCGGGGCAGGGACACCCTTACGGACGGGTCGGCTCGTGCTGGTCCTGCCCAACCTCCGCCTCCTCCCCAAATTTCCCTGCAGTGCGAGCCAGGAGCCCCCATCCCAGTGCTCCCGGTTGCTCCCCATCCCCTTAGCACGGGCAGGTTTTTGCATCCATCCATCCCCCAGGTTTGGGCAATTTCTTGCAGCACGAGCACGACTGGGCTGGTGGTACCGTCCTGCGTGGTCCCCCCCCGGGGCCGGATCCTGCCAGGAGCTGATGCAATTCCCTCCTCCCATCTCCTGCAGCTGGGAACAAAACCCTGATCATTCCCAAATGGGATGGGATCATTCCCATCCACCCATCCTCGAGGGGCTGGTCCCGCTTCCAGGAGGGGGAAAACATCCCCTCGCGAGTAGGGAGCCCGTCGGTATTGTCAAGAAAGAGGGGAAAACAGGGCTGGGGAGAACAATAGGGTTTAAAATATTCAGAGCTGATGAATCAGCCGGCGTTGTCTTGGGAGCCGGAGTGACGCTTCAATGGGAAGTCGCTGGAAATGGGGGGAAGGATGAGCCCCCGCGCAGGGGGGAGAGGGTGGGCGAAGGAAAACAGCTTAATTGAGGAAAGGGAAACGTCTCATTAACGAGGTTTTGCACCAGTGGAGCGAGGCGGTGGCGTTTCGGGGATGAGGAGGAGGAATTTGGGTCCCGTGGTGGGCTTTGGGGGGGGACCCTCGGCTGTGCCAGGGTCTGGCCTCGGTGCACGACGGAGGTTTTCCACTGCCAGCGCAGCCAGACCCTTTCTCATTGCCGGGGCGTCCCCAGTCGGCAGCTCATACCCCGCACTCCCGGTCCCCATCTGTTGCTATTTCAAGTGCGTAAAAGGCTTTTAATTTACAGAGAAAAGACGGGAACGTGGGATTTTGGGCTTTTAGCATCCTAGAGGATGAGCTCTGGTGTTGTGAGGCTCTTTTGTCTCCAGAATAAAAGCACTTTGTGTGTTGTTTGAGCGATGGGTGGTTTTGGGGTTTTTTTTTTTCCCCTTGTTTTTTTAACATGTCGCTTTTTTGGATGCAAAAAAAATCTACCTATGCAATGCTCCTGCAGGATCTGCCGGGAGGGAATTGCGTCTTCAGGAGGGTTTGGGGGATACTGAGTTGATTTCTTCTCCTCCTTTTCCTGCCTCCAAGAGGAAACGAGCTTTAATTATTGCCAAGTTGTCTGCTGGCAGGGCCGTGTGGTTTTCCCTGGGCTTTGGGAGCCGGC